TGGCTCCAGGGACTCTGAATTTCCCATTTCTCTCAGCCTGCCTTGTTCTTCTTTAGGATATACATATGGCTGCCTCCCTCTCTTCCTTCAGGTCTTCCCTCAGATGTACCCTTCTCAGTGAGGTTTTCACTAGCAATCTGGTAGTTGCCAACCATCCTCATCTTACAAAACTCTGTTTCCTGCTTCACTTCACTCTATAACACTACTCTAACAAAACAGACATAATTTACCAATAATTTTTGTGAAGAATGTCTCCCCTGGGCCTCTCCTGGTGGCGCAGGTGGTAGAGCACTGTGCTGTGAAGCTGTCCGCAGCCTCTACAGTGCCGGTTCGATCCTGGCCGGCCGCCGAGGGTCCCACATGAAGCGGCAGACCTCTCCTGTCTCACCTGCTGCTCCCCTCAGCAGTGTATTTCGTCAGTCTGCCTGTTCTGCTCCCCGCTCTGTCTCTGGTGAATCCTCTCACCCTCCTGTGCCTCTGGCCTGTACCCGGGTTCTTGTATAAATAAATCTTTAAAAAAATAAATAAAAAAAGAATGTCTCCCCTATTAGAATGTAAGTTCTAGGAAGGCAGGGACTTGTGTCTGTTTTTCTCCCCTGCCATATCCCTATCACCTAGTATAATGTCTGGTGCTTTATAGGCACTCAACAAATGAATGGGTATAGTGAATTAGATGACTGGGAGATAAGACAATTCTGTGAAGACCTCTGGTGAGTAAATTAAGAGGAAACCAGCATCAAATTTTTTGCAAATGGAAAAGACTCAAGCATGTTCACAAACTATTAGAAGGACAGAGCAGTATGAAAAAGACTAGGGGTATGGAGAAAGGATAGATGGCGATGCCAAGTCTGAGAGGAGGCAGAAATGAATAGCTTTCTGAGGAAAGGATAGAAGGGACCTCCTTGGCAAGTGGACAGAAAAGGAGCTTAAGAGGAAAGGCGTGGATGTGGGTAGGAATGAAGAGAATCTGAACAAGCTCATGCTTGGTACAGGTTTTCCCTGCTGCTGGAAAGTAGGATGCGCCTAATTGACATGATCTTGTGGGCTAATTTTTTTTTAGGTCTGGGGATGTTACTACATTAATTTCTATGCATTTTTTGTTAAGCATTCCTATATCCAAAAAATAATCAAATCATACCAAAGAGGAACACTCAGCATTTGAACAGCTGGGCAACATGTGCTGGATGGGGGGAGGGGTGTGTGTGTGTGTAGAACTTGGGTGTAGGCCACAGGTGCAGGGGGTGAGAGGATTCACCAGAGAGAACAGGGAGCAGAACAGGTGAATTAATTGAACTACACTGCTAAAGGGAGCAGTGGGAGAGACAGGAGAGGTCTGCTGCAATGTTTTATCTCAAGGCCAGGGAAGAGCTTGTGTGATGAAGTTTTAAAGGAAACCCTTTGGAAAATGGGAATACCAGTTGATAAGGAAGAAAGGACTGCTCAGCAGTGCGGTGTTGGAGATTTCCAACCTCGACAGCCAATGAAAACCAAGGGGAAAAGGATTAGTACTACTGTCAGAATTATGTGAAAACCCTCATTGGACGCTTTAGACCTGGACAAAATATGAAACTGTGAAGTGTAGTAACTTAAAGGGGTAAATGATAGGGATGACCACTGCTGCTGACCTAGTTTGGGGTGACTTCCATGGACAATTCAAGATGGTGTCCCTGGAATGGGCAGGTGTGAGGACAGTTCTCCAGGGACAAGGATGGAAAGTGGCTCTTTGGCAAGCAGGCTCCGGCAGGCTGGTCTCAGAACCTCAGGGAGGGTGTGTACTGTGTGCATGAGGAATAGAAGCACGAAAGTGATCCACATAGAAAAATAAGTCACTTACCTCTCACATATGAGAATGAGCCCATATACTTTCAAATGATGAAGTATTGGAAGTAAGTGCATCTAACTAACAAAGACCCCTCATTTCCAAAAGGGTCAAGTGGGTCTCCATGAAATTATAAGATTTTAGGCTCTTTACAGAACCTGTAGAATCTTCTGCAGTCCATAATGAAAAGGTTCTTTCAAATTTTAAAGACGATCTAAAATGAAGCTGCAAATGTTAATAGCTACCATTATTTGTGCCAAGTGTATCAAATACTTTATGTCCTTTACGCTGCCCAACCTTCCTTGTAAGGAAGTAGTTTTTATTCCCATTTTGCCAATGAAAAACCAGAGACGTTGAAGGATGAGGAAACTTGTCCTAAGTCACAACAGTAATAAGGGGCCAAACCTGAAATCAAACCCAAATGTGTCTGGTCCTTAAAAGCATACTGTCAACCTCTATCCTCTCTTGCCTCTCTAATGCTTCTTTTTCTTATGAAAACACAGGTGTGATGATTAGTGTGTTTCTATGAAACTTAGATTGATTCTATGATGTATGCAATAAGTATTGTTAGAAAGACATTTTTACACAAAATCATCAACCTAAATACCCCAACATGCATTGTGCCTTTCCAATCTTCGTGCCCTGCAGAAGGACAGGAGGTAATGAATGAATGGATGGGAAGCTTTGTCATCAGAATTTTACACTGAAGCACTGAGAGGAGTTGTGGACAGACCAACATCCGTGATCCTGAGGAATCAAAAAGAATGGGAGGGTCTAGAACACTAGCGGGAAAGTAAAAGGAGTTTCTGCAAAGCACAGAGCTGCAAGTTTATGCAGGATCCAGAGCAAGACCTACCCTTGTTAGTGAAGTGATGGGCAGTGGGCCCCTGACAGGTGAAGCCTGCATCCCCAAGACACAGCAGCTCACCAAGAACAGGTCATCTCAGACCAAGCCTCTACCTTCTTTCACTGGGCTTCTGCAGCCACCCCACGCAGCTGGAGCTGATGAGGACAACTCCCTTAGAAGCAGCACGTGTTCTTCCTTCACCCTTTTACATCCCCTGTAGTTAACAGACTGAGTGATAAAATTAGGACTGAACAATTAAGTCTAGCAAGGATAAAAATACGATCCCATACTTGGTTTCAAAAACCCAATTGAGTAAATCTGAGATAGAGAAGGGGTGTATTCGAGGCAACAAACATAAAGTGTCTTTGAGTAAGCTGATAGTGGGTTCAATGAGAGATGACAGTGTGATGAAGCTGGCACACAAAGGAAAAGCAGCTTCAGCTGCATTAATAAAACATGAGGTCTATGTTTGAACAAAGGCAGTCATAGCCCCGTTCTAACCTGGTTTGGCTAAAATGGACTGTTACTAAGCTCTGTTAGTTATTCTCCACTTCTCCCCACTCGCCACCATGACCTAGTCTCTGTACTGCTTGTGCCCTAAGGGAGCTGACCCCTACATATTGCAGCACCCAGATCCCCCTAGCCTGGCGACTTCGCCCTGAGTCCAGTCGATGAGAAGCACAAGCAAGAGATGGGCAGAGAGAGCGCATGCAGTCTCTGGTGCTACAGTCTGTTTCAGCTCCACATTTCTGACAGTGGCCGCATCCTCTACAGTTACAGTTCCTGTCTGTTGCTAGTCCCTACGTGCCTCACTATTCCCTTCTGGGTTTCCCTTAGCCCTACCCACACCACCATAAATTGTCTCTTCACTAAGTTATTTTCAAAATGCCAAGTTCACCTGCTGTTTTCTGCAGTGCTGTTTTCTCTGACACTGAAGATCCAGTCATTTCTATGAGGATCAGCAGGTAGAAGAGTATGTTTGAGTGGATAAAGGAGACAACTCCAGGAAAGAGGCTACTTCACTGGGAAAAGGTTAATGTCACTCGTCTATGAAAAGGCTGGTCAACAGAGAGACCAACTCTGTACTTCCACAGTCAGTAAAGTTTTCTAAAGAGCTGGCAAAGGGGCAGGTGAGCTCTCCTAATAAGTCATGAGCTTCAGAAGTTTTGAGATGTGCAGAGGCCCATATCAGGAATACTGTAGGGAACAGCTGACAGGGAAGTCTAGAAATGGACTTTCCAAGCCAGGACTTCATGATTTACTACCAACTACACACTATTCAGACAATGCTTTAGAAATAACCAAATTGGAGGAAACCATGTTTGGGGATGTGTTTGGCCTCTTCTCACTTCAATATAGAGAACAGACGTCTAGGCCTGTCAAGTCTGGTCATTCTCAACATTGAAATTCTTGTTACACTCGAAGATAAATCAAGAACATAAAACTTAGTTTACATCTCAGCATCACAGCATTCAAAAGAGTTGTTCCCAAACCACTGAACCGCTTATGAAAAACATTTTTCCCAAGCAATCTGTACCTACACATGTATCAGTAGTGCTTTTTCAGAACTGTCACCTCATTTTTCAAACCAAAAACCAGGAAACAAAATCTGCCTATGGGACAAAATATTTACATGTATAATCTGTCCCTGCAAAAAAAAAAAAAAAAAAATAGGATAACCTCAATTCACCCTCGTGAGAAATTTTTTTTTGCAAGTCCGCAACAGCTGATACCCAGAAGGGTCACAGCGCATGATGCTAAGTGTGTCTCATCTTCGGCAAGAGTTTATCACTTCCTACTGCTGGAACTCCAGCACGGCCAGCTCGTCACTCATTCATTCAACAAACATCTGCGATCTTCCAGTTAATAGGGCCTACTGGGCCCTGCAGCCGCACAAAAGACCCAAACACCACAATCAGGAGTCCAGCAGGTCTAGGAAAAGGCCTGATTTCAAAGACCAACGAATGCAAACAGTGAGACTGAGACGGAGCCCAGAAAAGTTGCCGCAGAAACTCCGGGAATGCCAGCCTGCGGGCACGGAGAAGGCGGGCCCTGGGCCTACAGGAGGCCGCCGCGGCCCCGGCCCTCTGGCCACGCGGCGCCATCAGCGACCCAATGGGGGCCTCGCGGGGGCGCCGGCCCCGCCGCCCGGGCCTGACTGCAGCCCCGGCGGCGAACCCCCGCGGGGACGGTCCCCGCACCGCATTCCCAAGACGCGTGCGCACGCGCCCCCGCGCGCCCCCGCGCGCCCGGCGCCCGCGGCGCGCGCCCGCCCGCGCCCCAGCCCCTCGGCCGGCCCCGCTCCCCGCCGCGCGCCAGGCCCGGCGCACTCACCCTCCTTGGCTTTCTTCCTCCGGGCCAGCGTCCCCCCGAGTTTCCCCAAGAAGGAGTCATCTTTCTTCCGGGACGGGGGCGACTTGGGGGTGGGGGATTTGGGGGCGGAGGGCGACTTCTGCGGAGAGGTGGCCATGGCGGGGAGCGGGCAGCCCGGGCCGGTCGGACGCGGAGCTGGAGCTGGAGCTGGGCGGACGCGGCGGGCGCGGCGGGACTGAGGCTGCGGCTTTCCAAACGGAAGCGGAATTATTCCAAGCATTTGAGGCAGCTCACGCTCGCCTTTCCCTTCCCTCTCTCCCTCCCTCGCGCCGCCCTCCGCGCTGCGAGGAGCTGTGCGCTCAGGCCCTCGCCTGGAGCAGGCCTGCGGCCCTGGGCTGCCCAGAGCAGGGGAGGGCGCCCCAAATCTGCCTCTCGCAGGACGTGAGGCCTTGTGTGTGTACGTGTGTGTGACCCCGACTCTCCTACCTGGAAGCCTCCTTTGCGCCAACCCTGCACCCTCGCAGATCCTGGCACACACAAGCAGGCTGAATGGCTGACCCTAACTCACCTGCCTCACTGTCTCTTGGGGTCTGCTGGCTGCTTGGGGAGAAGCTCTCGCTTCCCCTGCATTTCTACCTGTGCAATTATTAGGCCCACGTGTGTCCCCACGAAAGCCAGTTCCCGAGCACCGGGCAGAGGCTCTTTATTCTTAGGAGACACCCTTCTATCTAGCAGCTCAAAGGCTTGTACAAAAGTTACAAGTCGTGGTAACATACATGGGAAGGTACAACCTGGGCTCTTGTTAGACACCCTCTCCATGCCCTCTCCCCCCACCCACCCCCCACCTCAACCCTTGCCAAAAAAAAGTCATCCGGTCTAAATAAAAGTAACAGAGTGACACAAATGTTTCAAGGGCTCGTGCTGGAAATGATTAAAAGGGAATTTTATTTTGCTTGCCCACTTGAAGTTCTCATGACTTTACCCCCTGCTCTTCCTCCTCACCCCACCCCCTTGACAATTGTGTTTTTTCAGCTACAACTAATTGGCCCTGGGCGATCACCTGACCCAGAAAGGACTCATGATTAACTGGAGGGCAGCCAGTCAAATAGTCTCAGCCAAAAATCTGAAGGAAACTAGAGTCGCTGTTGCCAGAAGTTGAGTATTTAGTGATGATCATGTAGACTCGGAGCTGGGGTGTCCATTTTGAGCTACAGGCATACTGATGAGCAGAGAAACAAAAGAAGGGAGCAAAGAAGTGTGCTCTGAAGCCATGCGGTCTGAGTAATGAAAAGCCTGGGGAGTAGCTGCCTGGACCTGAATCTCTTCCCAGTGCCCACTTGAGTTCCAGGGAGCGCCAGCTGGGCTTCTGTCCTAGGACACAGCTCCTAAAGCCTCTCAATACCCATCTGTCTTTACTTGAGCTAATCAGTAAACTGACAAGCAACAATTCCTGAGAACAAAAATTTAACAAGCAAGATAGTCAATAGATTCTCAACAGAGTATTTGTTCACATTTTCTTTGCTTAAGGGTCATAATTTTACTTTTTTGGTGAATTATAATTTACAAAGGTGGGGCACCTCCTTCCTAACAGAAAGCAAAGAAGTAATAATGCCTGCTAGGATTTTCACCAAGGAGCAGGGTAAGATTACAACAACCGGCCTGATAAATCTTAGCGAGAAGCCAAAATAGAACTGTGTTTTGATTACATCATGAATCATTCTTGTCCAGAATATCGGATATACAAGGGCATTTCCAAGATCTGATCTCCAGCCCTGGGAACTCTTGTCAGGGAATCAGGAGATATGCAGTTTGCAGTTCACATTTTGGTAGTTGTACAATATTGGGCAAATTTACTCCTTTTTCTGAGTATTTCTTTTCTACAAAATGAAGCGGTACAATAGAATAATAGTTCTTATACCTGATTGTGCATCACAATCTCTTTGGGGTTGTTATAGACATTCACAGTTGCCATCTCTAGAAATTCTAATTCAGAACATCTGATAGGTATTTTTTTACGGAGACTACATCAGGTGATTTTGATGTAAATCATACACCTAAAACCACTTCCAGCTCCAACATTCTATTCTTCATCAATTGTTGATATCTGTATACAGATGTAGATTCTATATATGATGTGGTCAAAACTATATATGGAGTGCCTCCCCAGTGACTCAGCTGTTGAGTGCTGGGCTGCGAAGTTGCCCGCAGCCTCTGCAGCTCCGGTTCGATCCCCGGCTGCCAGGCGAGGGTCCCACATGGCTCGCAGACCTCTCCTGCCCCCCGCTGCTCCCCTCAGCAGTGTACATCGGTCCTTCTGCCTATTCTGCTCCCTGCTCTGGCTCTGATGAATTCTCTTACCCTCCCGCGCTTCTGACTGTACCCAGTGCTTTCATGCATGCATGCATAAATAAATAAATCTTTTTTTAAAAAAAAAGAAGTGTTGACATCACTATAAAAAAAACTGTATATGGAGATCTCTTAAATTGCTCATGCATACTTTTGCATGTACAACTCTCTTCGGCAATTTTTATACACACAAAAGTTTGAAGTTTGAAAGGCCCTGAGCAAGACTGCAAGGAGCAGCAAACAAAGGAAAGTCTGGATTGTTGAATTCTGGCTACCAGGAAATAGTAACAAAATAAGCAAACTGAGTTCACTAGACAACAAGAGCACCTGCCTTGGCAAAATCTTAGTATTCTCCTGTACTGGGGAGGTCAATGTGGAGATAGTTTAAAGGGTTCTGGAATCTTATTTAAGACAAGTTTTTCTATGGGGGTGATGCTAGATTAATGGGGGCCTGGGATATAATAGTTTAGGATAGGTAGAGTCAAGGCTAAGTTTAATGTGTTTGGGAGTAATCTTTTTAATGCTATTTATTGAGAAGTTAAAGAGTTTTATGTTCTTTTCAGTGAGATGTGCGGGGAAGTTCCTGAAACTGAAAAAAAGTTAGTTGTAATTTTTATCTTTCTATGTAAGGTTTTTTTGTTTGGATGGAAGTTATATTGAAAATGACAGGAGACTGGTAAATTCCTGTTAATGTAGACAGTAACCTATATGTATGTGAGTTCCAGGGTCTTAATTTAATGCAGATGTTTTGTTACTCAAAGCCTTGTGCCACTGTTACCAGTCTCTTGAAAGGCCAAGGGGGATGGGTGATAAATCAGTGCTACTCAAAGAGTAGCCTAAAAGTCAATAGTGATCTGCAAATTGGTTTTTTAAATGGTTTCTATAATATAAGGTAAAAACTGAGAGTGTTTGGAAACTTTTCAGGCAATTTAGCAATGCAATTCTATATTTGTTTAATTTAACAGTAAAAAGTGAAGGCTTACATTTTTAAAATTTTCATTTTATTTTCCCAATGTTTTCTAATTTTATCTTACAAATGACTGGTATATCAGGATGGGTTCTTTCCATGGCTCATCTGAAAAGCACAGTTCTTTTTTTCTTTTTTCTTGATCCAATTATTTTATTTTTTATGTATTATTTTATTTTATATAATTCTTACATCATTTTTCATTTTTGTATAATGTATGCATTTTCATCTTGGTTATATTCCCCATACAATTCCCACCCCCTTTTTCTGACCCTAATCCCTCTTCTCCTCCCCCCGGCCCCCACTGTAGTGTGTCTCTGGTCTATAGTTGCTTGTTGATTTTGATTTTTACTTTATTGCAATTAGTCTTTTTCCTGGTCCCTTATTGAGGTTTTCTAAATTCCTGCTATGAGTAAGACCATCCGGTATTTTTCTTTTTCTTTCTGGCTTATTTCGCTGAGCATGATCCCTTCCAGCTCCATCCATATTGCTGCAGATTGCATGAGTTTATCTTTTTTGAATGCTGAGTAATATTCCATGGTGTATATGTACCACATCTTCTTAATCCAGTCATCTATTTTTGGGCATTTGGGTTGTTTCCATAGCTTAGCTATTATAAATAGAAAGCACAGTTCTTAATGGCTCTGGTTTGTTTGCAGAGTTTTTATGTTTTCTTTTGAAATTAAGCTTTTATAGTCCTTATGGATATGAATTAATTTGGTTTTTTGTTTGGAAAATTAAATGAGATAACATACGGGAAAGTGCCTTTCACAGGGCCTGGTGTTTAAGAACACTAAATCTAAATCTTGCATAATCAGGGACTCATACTTCATACTGTCCTTTGATAAGATTCAGATTCACCCCCTTCTAATCTATAGTGGTGCTGACAATTTTGGCCCCACCCATCAGTTACCCCTTTCATGCTTGGTCATTGGTCTCATCTTATATAAGGGTTAATGATAAGGACATCTTATAAGTTAAATGTATGTTGCTGTGAGACTCTGCCAAATCTCTGGTTCTGTCTGTCCTTCAAAGCCAAACCTGTAGCGTACAGGTTCGTTTCCTGGCTCAGTAGCTAAGTGACCTTGGGCAAATTTCTGTCCTTGCTATGCTTTCATTTCCATCATCGGTAAAGCAAAGCCACAGCAGTACCTAGTAAAGCTTAACACCCCTCATAACTTTTGATCAACAACTTTAATTCTAGGCATGCCCCCCAAAACAAGTATATTTGTGCACTCAGATATGTGTTCTAGAAATTTCATGGCAGCATCATTCAAATGCTTATTAACAGTTGAGTCAATAAATAGTGATAGTCACACAATGGGATATTATACATATTACACTGTAATGTGAGATGAATAATTTGCAGTTACAAGCAGCAATAGAAATGTACCTCACAATATGATGTTGAGTAAAAAACCCAAACACAAAAATAGCATATACTATATTCTGTTCATATAAAATTCAAAAATAGGCTAAAGTAATAACCTATGATTTTAGAAGTCAAGATCATAATTAACTTTGGGTTGCAGAGGTTGAAGGCATGAGGGAGACACTGGTTACATGGGTGTATATTTGTTTTGAAAATTCATGACAGGTGCACTTAGTAATCTGAGCAACATTCTGTTTATATATTATACTTCAATTAAAAAAGTATAAATTTATCACAAAATAATTTTAAAAATGAAGCCAAGGGGACCACATGCTGTTATCCCCATGGTTTCCTTCACCAACAACCTGGTGGCACACATCACTCAAAAATGCATAGATTAGTTCTGCCCCACACCTTCCCTTAGACAATCATTTTCCTACTTAATATATGCTGCTCTCAGCCACTCAGCAGTGTTGCTATCCTGGGCCTGTCATCTTTGTTCAGGAA